TGTTTCATTGAACTTTTTCTAATTATTTCAGTTAGTTATTACATTCAAACTATATAGTGATAACTGTAAGCTAATATTGTAAATATAAAGTTGCTAAAATTGCTTTATATATTATTCCTTATATTTTTATAATTTTAGAAATTTAAGTAAACCTATCCTTAAATTTGTATTATTATTTGTTTTACTAAAAAATATTGGTGTAAAGTATCGATTCATTTTACAATCGATTGCAAATGCATTTATTAGGAGATGAAAATGCAAATTGAAACTCTTATATAATTTATATATACCTGTGGTATTGTAAATATTATATTCAGAATATATCATTCATGCATATATAACAAGGTAAAAATAAATAAATAATAGATAAATAAGGAAAACATATATAACATGAAGAGGTGTTTCATTAATTTGAGACTTTTCCGAACTATAAATAATAACATTTAAGATAACAAAACTTCTCACCATTTCATGGGAAGTTTGTTTAGAGATTTTTATACTAAACAAGAAAGATATGCAATAACTGGTTAATGCCTTCAATTATCAAGTATTATAATTGCATAAATGAGCACAAAATAATGTAAGACTATTTCAATATCACTATATTATCAGTTAAATTCATTTAAAGTCATTCTTAAAAACAAAGCATAAGTTTTATATGAAGTGTGTTTTACGTAACATTGTTTATGATCCTTATCTATAAACCAATGTATGACTTGTTTTGTTGATTCAAGTAAAATGTTATGTATTTATATTGTAATATCATATTATGTTTTTAATATTGTATAATTTAACACTAATTCTCAATTCGAGTTTATTTTAATTCGATCATGATCAAATTTCATTGTTTGATCATTGTACAACAATTGTTTAAGTGATGTAGTTGTTTATTTATGAAACTAAATATCTTATTATATAATAATTAATAAATAAAATATAAGTATTATTTATTTATTATAATGTAATTTAATACTTGTTAATTTGTATGTTAATTGTTTTACTAATTGGTTTGCTTTGGTAGTAATTATATGATCATTAATTCATTTAAGGTTTTAATATTACGTTAAATATCTTTAGTTTTTGAAATATTAATGATAAGAGAAATATTAAGGAATAGAGACTTACCAGTAGTGCAAAGAGCGATAAAAGTAGAGGAATGTCTTCTGATTAATGATTCCATATATTCGTGTGAATTATTGCTCTGTTTTGGACTAATTTCTGGGATTCTGACTAACAAATGGTCCAAATAATCAGTGGCCACAACTGTTGATACATCCCATTGTAGTCTTCTTAGCACTAATAACTCCCAACCCTTTAAACAATAGTAGAAAATGATGTTAAGTGTTTCCTATTGTTTTCATTTGTATCTTATTTTTAGTAACAATTAAACAAAGAATTGACAATTTTTCCAAAACAATAACTTTTATATAAATTATATAAAATGTAACTATTTTATAGAAAACATCAAAACGGATAGTATTGTTAATTGTTTACAAATACTTACAATAATCTCTTCAACACTCACTGAATAATCAGTAAAATAACTCAAGACGTGAGGGTCCAGTATCTGACACTGTCTTAGTTTAGATGCTATGAGAAGACAGACCACACCAACCAATTGTAACTGATTTTTGCGTATATCAGTGCCGACCAAAAAGCGGTCCAAAAAATTCATCGCAACCGGAAATACCACTTCTTCGCAATTGGTTTCCTCGCAAACCTTTTAATAAGTTTTTTAAATTTTATTAATTTTCGGTTCAAAAACTTTAATTTTCAAACTTATAAAATGTTATAATAAAATCTAAACACAAAAAATATATTGTAATTCTGTTTTGTAAATAAATGTGAAATTAATAACCAAGTAGTAATAATTAGAATAATGTAAGATTAAATACCTC